TCAGTCTGGAGGTCTGGATTAGTTATGAAAATGCAACTATTTCTAAAAGCTTGTTGCATGTGGCACATGCAATAGAAAGATTTATGATGAAGGACGCTTCCACCCATGTAGTTCAGTATTGTTCTTGACTACAGTCGTTAAGTTGGAATGTTGTGTACTGAACACACCGTAAAAAAAACAACAAAAAAACCCCCAGAAAAATATGTTTTTAAATAAAAGCTGGGCTATCGTACTGTACAAAACTGTGAAAATAACAGTAAATCCTTTTTTTTTTAAATTCATTTTTTGAGTGGACATTATTTATAGTTTTGCCTTTTTTTTCCATTAATTTGTAAATTAGTAAATTTTTGTGGTTTTACTAGTTATTAACAGTTATTTACAAAAAAGGGACAATCCGTAAAATAACAAGATACTGTTTAAACAAAATACAGTTAAAATTTTCATTTTTACAGTGTAGGAGAGGGACACAATATTTGACTGCATGTCACGATTAAAACATTCCTGCATATAAACATTTATCTTCACATAAATGATTATACATAGAATGCTGTGAAAAAGAATCGGTGGTGTGACGTGTGGGGCAGCTTTCCTCCCACTGGACCCGGACGACTTGTCACAACTGATGGAGCCATGAGTTCTGCTCTCTATCAGAAAATCCTCCTGGAGAAGATCCACCCATCAGTTCATGACCTGGAGCTCTAATGGGTTGTGCAGCATGACAATGAAGCACACAAGCAAGTCCACCTCTGAATGGCTCAGAAGGAACAGAATTAAGGTTTTGGAGTCGCCGAGTCAAAGTCTGGACTTGAATTAAACTACGATGCTGTGGTCAAACCTTAAAAGGACAGTTCATGCTTTAAAACCATCCAATATTAAAACAATTCTGCAGAGAAGAGCAGGATAAAATCCCTCCATGGGGATGTAAAGGACGGATCACAAGCTAGTGCAAATGTTTAACTGCAGTTGTTGCTGTCAAGGGCCCAAGCAGTTAGTAGGTTTATAGGGAATCCACAATATAGGGTTTCAATAAATCATCTTTTAAAAACTTCATTTTGTGGGTTTGGTCTGTCAAATATTACAGAAATATAAACATTACTTTGATGGTCTGGAACATTTAAGTGAATACTTTTTCACAGCACTGTATAACACACACTCACCGTTTTTCTTTTTTTTCCATTTTGCTGCTATTTTTTATTATTTTATTAAATATCTTCATTTGACTTAACATGTCATATTTTTTCTTGTGCTATTTTTACCTTAAACTTAATGCCTTGGCAGTTCTGTTGACAAAAACAGACTCCTGCAATCATGAATTTATTAACGCAACGTTTTGGTCCAAGACCTTCATCAGGCAAACAGTCTAATACACTATATGCTATACTATCTACTTTTTGCCTGATTGCATTAATAAATGTATGATTATGAGTCAGACAGTGTCTGTTTCTGAGCATCATATTCATGCCAGTAAAGCACATTAAATGAACATCAGCGCCACTGACTCGCTATCAGGAGGCCGCTGCTGCTCACTGCAGCTTACAGTCGTCATGAGGATGAAGAGGAAATGTTTTCAGATCTCACTCTGATGTGAACAAGGAGACTTGCTGCAGTTTAAAATGATCCATTATTATCTCTGACTTTACAGGACCCGGAGTCTGTTCGGCAAACAGGCTTTAATGGGTTAAAACGGGTCGGCAACCTTAAACACTCAAAGAGCCATTTGGACCCGTTTCCCACGGAAAAAAAACACCGGGAGTCGCAAAACCCTTTTGACATCTAAAATGAAGATAACACTGCATCGTTTTTACCTTTATGCTATGTATATAAAAAAAAAAAAACTACAGTGTGTTACATTTATGAAATCAATTAACTGCTACAGAGAAAACTAAATTTTATTTCTGCAACAAAAACATTTTGTACTCCAAAAAAAAGAGGGTTGAAGGTTACTTAAAAAAAAAAAAAAAAACTAAATATCTATTTGACTCCTCCTTGTATTTATGAAATAAAAAGCCGATCTTAAATTATCCACCTGCAGCAAACTAAAAATGGCATCTGGTTGTCCTGCTGACTGCAGCTGGGACTGCTGACCAGACTGCTGACCGCCTGTGAGCGCTTGGAGACGAGAGGAGCCCACGCCAGCACTGCTGCTCGCTGAGGACAGGAACGGCACAACGATACGTCTTTTCATGTCAGAGTCTCTAGTAACACCAGAAAGAGTCGCTAGATTTATCGCTAGTCATTTTTGACGAAAAAAATAAATAAAAAATCGCCAAGAGGATTTGGAAAGTTGCCAGATTTAGTGAGAATGTCATCAAGGTGGCAAAACTGCACATGCCTGCGGGTGTCGCGCATCGGCGGTTATGACGCATATTTTGAGCAACAAAAAAATTAAACACGTTTTGTTTTAATGGTATAAGTTCACAAAAATCTTCAAATTTAGAATTACATTTTAAAAAGTAACGAGCTAATACATTTAAATGAAAATACTCATTATTTTTTTCCAAAGCCACAAGGAGCCGCAGCAGAGGGATAAAAGAGCCGCAGGTTGCCGACCCCTGGGTTAAAATAATAAGGAAAATGTAAAGGGAAAAAATAGTGCAGAATCAGCCTTGTTTCTATCACAGAGTTTACATAAACATGCTAAATATGTCAGGGAATGTGTAAAATACAGAAAGCCTTTCCATGTTTGTCTACATTAAATTTCATTTTAATGACAGAACAAAACATTTGCCAGCAGATCACTGATATACAGGCCTGTGAGGCTTCATAGAGCACCCTAAAACACTGACCTGCAGCCTTCATTCAGGTTTTCTGTTGTGATATTTGTAAAGAGTAACGCTCCGCTGCACAGCTGCAACACACAATCTGTTTTCTATTCGCTGCCCAAACCAAATCAAAGCTGACCAACGTTCCGCCTTCCAGATCTGTGCAGCTTTAAACTGGATTTCTGGATATTATTTCTTTTAATGCAAGCTATAATAATGACTTCACATTTCAGGGAAGAAATAAAACGGTTATTGCTGTTGGTCTTTGTTGGGCAGAGGAAGCCGTCCACAAAGCAAGCCGCTCAAACTGACCAACTTCAAATGACCACAGCCAACACGACAACAAACGAATGCTTCCTGCGTTTAACCCTCAGGGGAAGCAATACTTTGACAAAAAACAAAAAAAAGAGTTGGCAGTTATCTAAAAAAAGACAGCACAGCATATGTTGGTACTTTAATGCTATTTATTCTGAGAAGGGAACAAAGAAATAAAAGAGTGTTGGAATAAAAACGGACTTCAATCAGTTTTGAGTCATTTAGCAAATAAAGATGTGAAACATTCGCCAGCTCCATCCTGTCCAATCTGGGGATCTGCAGCTCGCTGTTCAATTCTGGAGATTTTTCTGCTGAACTTAACAACAGATTTTTTTAAAACAAGAGATAAGATCAACACAAGTAAAGTGAAATTAGTCTTCTTTGGGTAGCTGCACATCACCTTCACTCTCATTTCAGCACGTAAATCCTTGGATGTGGGAGAATTATGGGTATTTTCATTTAAAAAGACTTCTTTGTATGTGTGCAAACATTTACATATGTGCAATGGATGGGTTTATATATATATACACAAGAAACTACTTGAAATGCTTTACACATAAGGCCCATAGATTTCTTTAACTAGTTTCCACTGCATTTCTTCCAAAAGATAAAAAAAGTCCATGTTATACTGCCACATTAACACTGAAGACATACAACAGTACAGAAGCTTGACAGTGAACTTACAGTACATGTTGGCCTTTATCTGTCTAACAATGCAAATGAATCATTTACAAACCTTCTAACACCTACAGCTCGTAATTAAAACCGGTAAGTGTATTATATTACATACGTGGTACATTATCTTACATGCAGAGCCTCTCTGTCATTAAACTAAACTTTCAACGTTAGTCGGAAAGTCTTAAAAATGCATCATGCTGCGTGTGAATACAAAAAAAAGTCTATTTAAAAAAAAAAAAAAGATCCAACCATTAATTTAGTAAATACATTACAACATAAAAACACATTAAAAAAAAGAAGAACAGAATCAAAAAAGTAAAAGCTTTAAAGACGATGTGTTACACAGAAGAGCTCCTACATGAACACATGACAGGTGAGTTTCTGACGCAGACCTGATAGACTTGAATTTAGTGGAATTTCTGTTTTTGTTCTAGAGTTGGGCATCGTTTAGGAATTCACTGATTGTCAATGTGCTCATCGGCCTGGGTTCTAATCGAATCTGGATTTTTCTTGTTTTAGAATAGCAATAGAAATAAGAAGTGTATATGTATATATGTATTAAAATGGTACATTTTTGCTAATTTCCTACAAATTTTACACACTTTGAAATGCATTTCACGTTCAGGCCAATTTGCATTTATCAGAATGACAAGACGTGGAGGAGAGGACCACACAGTGCGGTTTTCCATAGTTCCCTTTAGATTTAAACATTACAATGCATCGCGACACACGTGTAACCAAGAAAAGACAAATAGATCTGATAAGTGCAACTGAAAGGCACAACTTTTAGAGTCCCGTTCAGAACTTGGAACTGGTTCCAACGCAGAACCGCTTTTACCCCTTTTTCACCAAGGCAGGTCTGGAGCCACTGTCCAACTTCAAAGCAGTTCCTTGACAGTTATCAGCCAGTTTAAAAGAAAAAAAAAACGGTGTCAAAGTTGCACCGAGACTTTGCTGGTCTACAACCAAGAACTGCTTCAGGGGCTCAGGGCGGAGTTATAGTTCAAACTTTGGGACCGCCGTTTGTTTTACAGAACCAGGGCTGATCTAAAGAAGAAGAACTCGACGTGCGACATCAGACGGCATGGAAAACTGGACAGACGCTGAATTCATGGCTGTCCAGCAGCGACACATGAGACAGGCACAACTGTCTGGTTGCTCTGTGGTTCTCAACAGTTCAAAATAAACTAGAGGAAGCTTCAATAGGTGAACAGCTGTTTGAACAGACGTAAACAGTGACGTAATGTCGTGGCTCTGTCGTACCTGGAAAAGCTATTTAAATCTTAGAAGGTCTGCAACTCTAGTCCAGACCCAGCATCAAGTCTACGTTGGTGAAACGGGGGCACCTGATACCCAACCCTAGTGTTTTAGTTTTTTCTTTTGCAACAGTGATTGTTGAAGTTACTTGATGCAGAGTGTAAAGTGTAACGCGTCGCCTAAAACTACCACCAGAGCAGTTTCCTGTTTGACTGAATAAGGCATAAATCAAAGTGCAATGACGACTTTGTCCTTTTTCTAAACGACTTGGTGGTTGGTTGGTATACCTGTAACTGAGAATACGTTTGGGACAATGGTTAAAACTACATCTTAGCAACAGTGTCTAATGTGGATGTTCAAACCGATAGCAGTTACTGAGGTAGATTTCCTGACTGAAACACTTAAAACATAAACATAGTCAGCCTGTTAGAATGATAAGTTACCTCTACAAACCCTCTGTTCACTGAAACTGTTCTGAATGCATCTTCCACCTGAAGGAATTATTAAGCTTTTACCATGTTACTGTTAGATTGCACACGATGGTTGGACGACAGGATACTGTAGTACTGCGATGACATAAGTATACACAACATCAAGCACCACGAATCCTCACAGCTTCATACTGCTTAACCATGTCACAAATTCATCTTAAAACAGCCGCCGTGTCCAACAGCAGCAAATCAAATAAGAACAAAAAAAAAAAAAAGAAAAATGTGCCCTAAAACGCTTTGAGAATGGCCCGTGTGGGTTACTTCCACCTGCCAGTCCTTCCGCTCCATCACTGGACCATGTAGGAGGAGAACGTCTCTTCGTGTTTGGACGCGTTGCGGGCGATGATCTCCACGATGGCGATGTAAGTTCCAGTGAGGAAGCCGATCAGACCCACCAGGCTGATGACGGCGTTCTTGGCGGTTACCAGCGGAGACAAGCCCTCCGTATGAAAAGCTATAATCTGGAGGAGGGGCGGGAAGATCAGCGCCAGGAAACTGCTGCTGACCGAGCCGACCAGCGAAATGACGAGGTCCAGCTCCGGTATCAGGATGGCGAGGGCACCTGGAATGTGAGAGAAGAACACAAGACAGCGGGGGTTAGTCTTTGTCATTACCTGAGCGGCTCTGGTTGAGACCCGTGCTCAGGTCAATAAACAAATTAACAGGGCTTTACTTATATGCTGATGATTAGAACTCTTTTGTATCAGTTGCTATAATCAATAAGGTGGAGACTTCCATGTTGGCAAGCAGAGGCCACTGTGGGAGTTTAGCAAGTAAAGGAGCACCCGGATGGAGACTTGTATGTGGCTTAATGAGCTCAAAATGTTTAAAATGAAGCTGGAGTAAACTAGAACAATGTTCCCACAGAACAGTGGAACATCTTATGGCTGTTGTTTTACACTTCTGTGTGACAACAGATGTAAACCCACTTGAAGATACAGGTTAATGTCAGCAGTGATCCCTTGTATTTTCCCGTGGTTAATCCTGAAGGAGGATCAGGCCTAAAACACACATCTTTGAAATTATTACTAATTTTTAGGACCTGTTTTTATCTTTATAAAAGCCAGGAGAAGAAGGTTCATTTTAAATGTAACTACCTTGCTTTTAATTTAATAACTTTACTGATAGTCTAATACTTTGAAAGTGAACACAGCCCTGAAAACTGCACACAAATAAATACATATATCTATAAACAAATAAAAACAAATGGTGACATGACCGATCAAGCTAATTCACTGCTGTGTAACCTGACCAGACGTCAGAGGTCGGACAACGTAGCCGGGTTCAGCCCTTATGCTTGTCTCGCATGCTGATAGAGCAACCGCACAACACCCTGTTAAATGCATGTTTATGTGTCACGCTTTAAGGCACATGACAGGCTGTCTATGAGCCCGGGAGGGAGCAAACTTGGAGTCGTTAATACAACTGACCTTACATCTGGAACGCCAAATATTCTATTAAAGCACTTGTCTAACCAATGAAATGTCTACAGTTGGAAACATGTTACTATGGTTTTATTACCTAGGCCTAACTGTGATGAGGGAACACCAGATATGTCCAAAATTCAGCCTAATAAAATAAAACACTAATAGAAAAGTCAAATGAGTTTTTAAAAAAAAATGCTGAAATACAAACAATGTCAATGCAAAGCCAGACTAAAAAGGTGCATCTTCAGTTTGCTTTGAAAAATAACACCTCGTGCAGCCCTCAAGGCCTTGAGGAAGGCTGTTACTGACACAATAATGACAAAAGGATCCCTCACTGTGGTTTCTTTAAGAGGGGTGGGTTTGCTTCCACTTTAGGTTTAATTAAAGGGCCACCAACAGAAGACACGAGGGTTCTGGAAGGTTTGGAGGATAAAAGCAAATCTGATAAACAGGTCGGACCAAGGCCATTAAGAGTTTTATAAACCAATCAAAGGATCCTAAAATCAATTGTGGAGCAGACAGGTAGCCAGTGCAGAGACTTTAAAAACAGTGTAATGTGTGCTCTCCTTCTGCTCTTAGTCATCACATGTGCAGCTCGGCTTCAGAGCAATTGTATTAAAGGTATTAAATTGATTTTGCTTAACAGACTTGTGACGGTTGTGAGGATTCGTCACAGCTTAAAAAGATCAAGCAGCCTGCAGATGAACCACATGTGAGCAGCATCACTTGAAAAACAATGCCTGCTTTACTGCTACAACTTTCAACTGACAGTATTTAGTTTTTTTGGTAGTTTGCTGAACGAACGTTACTTCTTGTATTTGTGCAATCACATAAATGTCTTGGAAACCAGCACCTTTTGGCTTCTATATACACGTACCACTTGCACACACTTTCCCCTCTTGCATATTCTCTTCAGTAGCTTCAAGGTAGTAGAAATCATTGCATTGATCTACATCAACGTGACGATTAAACTGAGAGAAATTCAGCTTAGTTTGGCTGTACAGCATAGGCTTGTAATGACTGAGCCACAGGTGAGACAGAGCTTGTAATGAGGCTAAATTCCTTCCTGGTTAGAGCCGTGGTGATAATAATCTCCTGGAGGATTCAGAACTGCTATCAGTATCTGAATGTCAGTCATCTGTTTGTTTAACATTTCCGTTTGCCTGCTGTTAACGTTCAACAATGCCGAGGCGCTGTTGTGGAAATTCTTATGTGTGAGAGTTCATTCATGGGAGAAGAATATTAATCGTTGTTAAAAAAAAAAAAAAAAGTCTCCATTGAAGGTCTGTCTTTATCCAGATCAACAGCTGACGCCTGGCTCTACCTCAGTGAGAACACTGTACAAAAACTACCAATAAACCAACCGCATATGCCCACATACCGTCTTCTGTCCTGTTGTGCGTCGATTCAGATAACTTTATTGATCCAAGAGGGGCAAATCATTTGCAGTTCACTCAGTCCATGCACATCACTTCAAGACTTACAGTCAAGGTAGCAACAGATCAGCACACATGGGCCAGTACCATGGAACAACCATCCATCCATCATCTATATACCACTTAATCCTCACTAGGGTCGTGCGGGGCTGGAGTCTATCCCAGCTGGACTTAGAGTGAAGGCAGGGGACACCCTGGACAGGTCCATCATAGGGAAACTACTCAGATCAACTCCACACATTAACATTTACTTTTAGTTTAAATAGGAATGTATATATAAACAGTCCATCAATAAATTACCGTTAATAATTTAAATGATTAAAAATATATCAGCAGACAAGGCACTAGACAAAGGACATGTATGTGATTAAATCTATTGTAGATTCTCTGTAGTAGCTGCTTGTTCCACCAAGTGGAGCCTCTTAATGTTTAACACTGTAGTGATCTGATCTAGTTCCTCGGACCCTGGACAGTTCTGTGTGAGCAAGCATAGAGTATGGTGAGGGTTTAGCTAGTAAAGACCACCATGACAAAGACTTCTGTGGCAGTTAATTATTGAGCAATCGATAGCTGATTGCTGCCAATTATCGGTTAAGAAAATAGTTAAAGATTTGCATTTCTAGTGTAAGCACTATTGAGTGAAGCACGACAGGCTGTATTCCTGCTCTCAACATCCATCAACTCTCAGACATTCCAAATGGTTTTCTTTTTTTTACATCTGATGTCTTCTGAAGCATCAAAACCAGTTGTGTGGATATCGTGACTTAGTGCTCTGAACATATACGACTTTGTCTGGAGTTTGTTTTTCCTCTATCGGCCGTGTGTAATCCAGACAACCAGTCGGTAATAAATACATCAAAAATGCCTAGAAATCAACCTTTAATCCACTTTGTCAACAATGAACAGGAATCCGTGATTACTTTGCAGCTTTTAATAAAATAAATGAGCACTGAGCACTTAGTTACACATTTGAATCCCATCAAATTACAGAAAATATCAATAAAAAAGTGCACATAAGTACCAATAAAGATCTCGACAATCCAATCACTCCCCATCTGTAATCACAGCTGGCTTTGGATGAGAGGTTGTCCTGTCCCCGGTTTATGACTAATTGCCAACCTAGTAGTTTTATTTCTCTTGTAAAACGTTGCATGTTGACCCACGTAAAGAACACAAGCCAAAAGACTGACAGTGCAGTTATACAAGTCTTGCAGGACTTTGAACCTTCTATGACTGCTTTTCCTTCTTTATTAATGACGATAGCAAGTTTCTAGATTTTGCAAATGGTAAATAGACCCAAACTGGTCCCAAGTATAACTGCACAATGATTCGTACACCTGCGTCCACAGGAAATCTTTGTATTAACTGCCATATACACACCTTTCTCAGCTCTGCACATGGCCTGTTGTGAAGTCCTTTACAGGGTGTAACTGTGATGAACATATGGTGCAGTATGTCTAAAAACTACATTTTGCAACGTTGTTCCAGAGAGAAGCCATGCATTTGTCATATATGATTTTAAACTTCCTGTCACAGCTTCTTCTCAGGATTAACAGCATCCTTTTTGTTTTGGGTCCTTTTTTATGTGAGCTTTAAGCATTTTCAAAAATATCCAAGTATGAACTCACAAAGAGTCTGAAATGCTTTTGATATTTGTCTTTTCGGTGTGCAGGGTTTCTGTGCATGATGAGATTTTTAGGTAGCTCATTAAAAAACTAAAATATTCTTAGTGTGTTTGGGAACTACTTAAGGCTCTGACCTTTTGAGTTTAATGATCAAAGAATATAATCTATGTGGCAGAAAGCCTCTTTTCTGTTTTTGCTTCGTATGAAGGATTGTGTGAAACAGAAGATCTAGATGAGGAAATGAAGTGACCAAAAAGTCAGTTTCTTCACTTTTATCTTCTCTACTGCACATGGGTGGCAGGAAAGTCAGAACTGCAGTACAAACCAGGGAAAAGAGGGCTCAGAAGACAGAAGAGACGGATGAGAAATAAGGTCAAACGTACTTTGGGATGAAGGGAAACAGAGGGCAGAGGAGCAAGAGAGATGGATAGGGTCAGATAGATGACAACGCAACGGGAAAAGGGAGAGAAAACAAACTGAGAAGAAACGGGGAGAGACTCCCACTGAGTGAAAACAAAGCTGTGACTGTGTTTCACGTGTCGATAGGAGCGGTGACCATGCTGCTAAAGTCACCGGGGACACGAGTCACCTTCACTGGTTGCTATAGAGACGGACATAAACAGCAACAGCCGAGCGGACAAAACAAGCGGCTGCTGAGGCGGCGCGCAGCGCTGTCACAACTGAGGCGCCTTTACGTTCCTGCTGACAAAACTCCACGACAAACCTTACATCTTGAAATGTCTGCACACGAGCAAGCATTACACGCATGGACACACCTGAAAACAGAGGCCTGCTTTGCTGCACACAGACCAGCACACACTTTTAATCTCACACTCTGTCCGTTAGTATCTTCTCCACAGTGAGCAGAGAGGACAAGTCAGGTGTTCTTGTTCTTTCTGTACGTCGGGCACACATTACCAGCGGCTGATAAAAGACTCTTTGAACCATAATCAATTGCTTGCCACTGCGTGTTCGAGTCTGTCAAATTAACCTACGGGGCGACGGCAAGGTCGAGCTTTCATGCACCTCGCCGCCACTCGTTCCCGGGGAGTAAACCTGTCACTTCTGGGGATA